ATTTAACATTTAGATTTAAATATAATATTTAGATTTAATATTTAACATTTAGATTTAACATTTAACATTTAGATTTAAATATAATATTTAAATTTAATATTTAACATTTAGATTTAATATTTAACATTTGATGAAAAGTTACAAATATTTTACTAAATGTTGTAAAGAAATTACTCGAAAAAAATATGTTTTTGTAAGGTTTTGAGCTAAATGTGGAAAAATGTTGCCGTTAATTTCAGCATGTTTCACTTTACAAATGGCGCCCCATACAACAGATGCTAATGTTTTTGTCACTTTTTATGGATTCAAACTCAAAGTAAGGTCAGTACTTGCACGCTTTAAACACTGCACGCTCATACTCTCTCCCGCACTGACATATTATCCATTCTTGAGCTGTTGTCACGAACGTCGCACCTGCTTACATCATTGTCATGAGACACTCACAAAAAAATCATGGTTTTAGTAACGAAGTAACGCTTATTACCTTTTTTGCAATAGTAATAAGTGAATATGACAAGAACAATAAAAGTTTTCAGATAATTGATAGGGAGTTTCTGAGGAAAGAAAGATGGGTCAGGACTGTGTTTTACATCCAAAAAAGGCAATAAAATCATGTATTTTAAGGTTGAAATGCTGCACATGTTTTATGAGGTAATAATGTTACGTTAGGAAATTACATTAGGAGACAAGAACACTCTGGGTTTTGGGACTTTAACGGTTTATCTCTGCACTCTGATTCTTGTTTATCATCAGCATGAACAAGATGAGACTTTGGCCTGTTTGAATAATCCCGGTAATTGTTTCAAGCCCACAGAACATCAGGTTCATTGTTCATTAGATAAAAACTATTTTACATGTTTCTGCAGATTGATTCATTTCTGCCCTGCTGTTAATATTGGTTAAGCATTTTAACAGTGTGAGTTTCCGACCTTAATATTTTTCTTCAGTATCATGATCAAGCAAACAGAATGAGGCTCTAGTGAGCAGCTGCCATGATTAAACAATGGTAATAACAGATGATAAGTAATGATAAATGGTAAATTAAGCCCCAGCAGTGCTGTTTTGCTTTATTTTCCCCATCCCTGTTCCTCTTAATCAAAGCAGGTAACACTTGATCTATTTTGTGTAGAAGAAGAGACAAAGTGACAAATGCAGAAAAAGCTGATATCTGTCACTGGGATAGCCCAGAGAGATTTCTGTGTTTGCTGAACCAGCTAACGCTAAGAAAGCCTGTGGGTTTGTCACTCTTGGTTTCCAGTATACCTCTTTGGTATGAAAAAAAAATTAATACAAACTGCTGAAGCTCAAACTGAGCAGCAGAATGTGGGAATAAAGGTGATTTGAGGGACTTTGAATGTGGCACAGTTGTTCGTGTTGGTCTCAGAATTTTCCCACACAACCATCTTTAGGGTTTACGGAGGATGTTCCAAAAAAGAGGAATAAAAAAATCCTGTGAGCGGCAGTGCTCTAGGGTCTTGTAAATGTCAGAGGTCAGAGGAGAATGGCTAGACTGCTGTGAGCTGATAGGAAAGCAAATGTAATAGAGTGGTTTTTGAAAAAAGAAAACAGGGACCACACAGCTAAGAACAGAAAATTAGGCTCTAATTTGCACAGGCTCACCGAGACTCAAAAATCCCAACCCCCTGGTCGCCCCGTGGCTCAGGGGGTTGGGATTTTTGAGTCTCGCATCTGTAACCGGAAGGTCGCCGGTTCGATCCCCGGGCTCTCTGTCCTGGTCGTTGTGTCCTTGGGCAAGACACTTTACCCTACCGCTTACTGGTGTTGGCCAGAGGGGCCGATCGCTTCTGTCAGTCTGCCCCAGGGCAGCTGTGGCTACAGCTGTAGCTTGCCTCCATCAGTGTGTGAATGTGAGAGTGAATGAATAGCGGCATTGTAAAGCGCTTTGGGTGCCTTGAAAAGCGGTATATAAATCCAATCCATTATTATTATTATAGGCTGATAGGTCTCAGTTTCTGCTGAAACATTTGAATGTACGGTCAGAATTCATGCTCCAGGCTGCTGCTAATGGTATAATAGTTTGATGGTTATTTTCTTGGCACGCTTTGGCCCCATCAGTGCCAACTGAACGTTGTTTAAACTCAACAGCTCCTGAGTGTTGTTGCTGTCCCTTCATGTGTATCCATCAGCTGATGGCAGCAGGATAACGCACCATGTCAAATCATCTCAAACGGGTTTCTTGAACATGGCGATGAGTTCACTGTACCCAAATGACCTCCACAGCCCCCCAGATCTCAGCTCAACAGAGCATCAAGAATGTGCAGCCAAAAATCTGCAGCTAATAACCCCGTCTGAAAGAAATACTTCAAGACAGAAGATGGAAAAAAGCACTAAAAAGCCAATGTATATTTAGGTTTGATTACTGGTAAATCTAGTGGACGGGGAAAAAAACATGTAAAAGACAGAACATTTTGTGATTTTTTTTTTTTTTTTATGTCAGGAAAAGGTCTGCATTCAGTAATTCATGTTTCTTTACAACAGGCAAAAAATAAATAAAAATAATGAGGAATTTCTTTCTGGTTTGTTTTAAAGTACGCCATGCTAACTAAAGAGTCATGTGTCTGACTCACTGTGAAAGACCTTAAAATAAATGAATTCTCTGATCAGACACGATGGTTTACAAGTCGTTATGTGTGGGACACAGATGCAAAAGAAAAAAAGCAGTCTAGTCAAAGATTTAATGATACCTTTGATGGATTTATTAGGGGTGTTTTTGAAATAGTTTTTAAAAATACACAGAAAACCCTCAGATTGATGAATTCTTTATGAATTTCATGATTAAATTTGGTCTGCACCTGATGTTTTTGTTGCCTAGAGCTGCACGAGTTGATCTCTCCTAACTCACAGGTATCAGTGCAATATTATCAGCCCATTTTCATTTCTTTTAAATATGTTTTTGCATTATTTTCATTTTTGTTGTGCATTTTAATTCTTATCTGGATAAATTTGCACCTTCTTCTTATATTTTCCTCTCCCTTTCTCAGCTCTGGAGACCAGCTGGGTGGAAGAAGGGGTTAGATGCCCTCTTGGCCAATTCCCATGTGGAAACACGAGTGAGTGCCTCCCTCAAGTTTTGCAGTGTAATGGACACAAAGACTGTCCCAATGGAGCTGATGAGAGACAGTGTGGTAAGTGTGAGCCAGTGTAACAGTGGTTATAAATGACCAAAGGCAGTATTTACTTTTAAGGGAATAGTATGTTGTTTATATTGACTTTATTATATTTTCTTATTTTTTAATATAAGTTAGAATTTTTAAATAAACTTTAGATGTTTGTAGCTCGCATTTTATGAAACGCTGAACTAATGAAATGAAGATTTGGCCTTATTTAATCTTACATGAGTCGAAAATTCACATTTTAACCTGTGATTACACTTCATAACTGTCTTTCTTTCAAGGTGACACTAAAAGTTTTAGCAAGACAAAGAGAACGACAAGCCCAGTCAGAAATATCCTGCAGTATAATATTATACAATAAGCTTAAGGTATTCATGTTTAGTTATTTATAAATCAGTGCCTGTTGTCCATTACCTACTCCTACTTTTTTTTTGTACATTTCAAAACAAAGGAATAAATAATATAAACAGCATTCAATAGTAGCATTAACGACTAGCAGGTTGTTTAGTGATCATGTACAATCCCTGCTTCCTGGTCGAAACTACACTGCATTCATTAAGGATCTTGTCTTCTCTTTTGTGTTTTATTGTGTTGGATCTTGTTCTATTTAATATAAACAACTGTCTAAAAATAGTCAGTGATCACCATGGGCTTCTCTGGGTTTTTATTACCCCTGTTCATCTGCAGCACATTTTAAAGCTCAGTTTTTAAAACCTAACGATGTAACTACAGCTGTTCGCGGTTTGCCTGACACCAAATATTTGAATGGGTCAGAAAAGAATCACTTTGAGGCTAACAAAGATTTGAGTGAGTACATGAATGTGAGGATCAGGACTTTTTCATAGCGAGTAATCTAAAACGTGCAGCAGTATATTAATGGCTAACCCTGTGCTATCGATGTATCTCAGATGTTGACCTGACTGAAGTTTGAAAGCTTCTTCCTGACGTGCGATTGCATTTGTTTCCACCTATCGGGAACTTTCACGTTAACTTTTATTGGAAATAAAATCTATGGGAAAAAGTTAGCAGTTATACTCCAGTGTCGCTGTGCTAATGTGTTTATATTATCCTAACCATAGCTGTGTAGAGAGATTCTGGGTTCAAATCCCGGACGAGCCCCCAATTCTAAATATCAACACTTCACCAAGTTCTTTTGATTCCTCAGAGGCATCTAATGGAAGACAAAACACTGCTCAGTAGAATGTTTAACACTTTATTACTTCTAGAAGGGAGATGCGTCCTGCATGACACTCTGCCACAGATCTCAAAATGGTGGTGTGCCACTAACAGTTTTATTACAGAAGCTCTCTCATTCTAGTCTAAACAACAGTGTCTCAGTAACTTTCCTCTAGAGATGGTCCCCTCTTATCTACATTTTCCCAGGGAAGCGTGAGCGAGAGGCTACAGCTTTCTACTCCCCAAGGACACGTGGTCTCATGCCTTTATTTTTCAGGGTTGTGTCCACTTAATACTACACTATATAACTTTATAACAGTTATTATTAATAAGAAGCATAGCATTATTGAGGCACTGCAAATTATTTAATCCCAACACTAGCAACCACGTAGCACACCACCATATGCTAGCTAGCCCACCATCGGTAACCCTAAAAATGTCACTGCTGTTTAGTTTTCCTTCTTCATTTATATCCGAAGTGAAAGCAGAGCTATATGTTTTAATTTTTCTCAGTCAGAACATGGTATATCATCTTAAATAAAAACTAGCAAGCTAACTCCCCACTAACTTCTAACTCTGTTAAACTTCATAATCCTGTTTTTCATGGATGCCTGGATGTTAAATTTGATAGTTACACCTGGTTAGGCAGACATGCTGATCATTTTATTAAAGATGAAAGAATTTTGACGGCTTTTAACTCTCAGTCATGCTGTAGCGTTTGTTTGAGAACTGAAGGGCTTTTGGACCTGGAAATAGCTAATGATGTCATATTTAACAGGCAGATTCCCTTTAAGGTAAATACTGCTTCTTCTTAAAGTGTTAAGAAGCACTAAAAGAGTGCAAAACCTTATATAGTTGGAGTTTGCACTCTTGTAGTGCTTCTTCTTAACACTTTGACCTTCAGATCAATCTATTGCCCCTAAAAAGAGAGTCAGTGATCAAATATGAAATATTTTAAAACTTCATATAATATTATTGTTGAGAATTCACACCACACTTGTAAGAATCGTAGTTTCTAGGTTATAAGCTTTTGGTCAATTTTCAATCAATAAAGCTGATCTTGAATACCTTAGTTTTCATTCAAAATTTTGAGGTACAGACAGCATGGTAGTCTTGCAGCAAGACTACTTGAAACAGGAGAAAAGCTGTTACACAAGAAGTATTGTAGAAGGGCGTCGATCAAGCATCAGGTCTGGTGTGTACTCCTTTGTGGGAGGAGGACCAGGACTACCAATGCCAGAGTCACACAAAATGACCTCAGATGGGATACTCATGTGCATATTTCTGACTAAACTGTCAGAAACAGAGTCCATGAGGATGGCAACGGGTCCTGACTTCCTTTATTCTGGCCTGTTGCCGCAGCCCAGCATTATGCATTTCAGTTCTCATTCACTAGAGATATACCTCTCCAGACCTTCACTTACCCCCTGCCATTGAGTGTCATAAATAAAGCAGTGAAGGAACTTCTGTTTGTTATACATGGATAATTAGGAGTGACATGCGCCTTAAACAAAAGAACCCTTCTTTTCTTTGGTGGGACTCCAGACCAAATCGAGCCTCGCTTTCCTACAACCTCTCTTGGGCCTCGGAGTATTAGCCACTGGATCAAACTCTCATGACAGTCTTCCTGCAACTGCAAATCAACCAGCTGAGCATGGGCACGAAGACTGTAATCCTGACAATCTCCAAAGCCTCAGAAAAAGACTGAAGCCAAGAGCCAAGAGTAATTTTCCAAAAGAAACATCCCGTTTTTGCCAGTTTTAGAGAACTAATCTGTTTCAAATTACCATTCAAGACCAGGGTCATCATCTGTTGGATATTACCTCTATTGTGTAAAAGAATACTATAAATGTTACCATGACATCCGAGAATAATCTATTTCTTTTAATTAACAGTCGAGAGTCGCTACGCCATTCAAATATTCATCAGTCATTGTCAATTAAAATGCCAATGTGTTTGTAACTATTTCGTAAACACTCCCTAGGATGCTTGTTTTAGCATTAGTCCCACGGTAAACATGAGTTAGTATTTTTTTGTTTTTTTTGTTTTAATCATTTAAGCCCTTTTTATGAAACGTTTTCATTTCTGCAGAGCATAGTTTTCTCATCACCCAGGTCAAGAAGGAGCGCAAATTAGTTTCAGTCTGTCTGCGAGGGCATGCTAGTTATCAGAAATCCACTCTGTGTTATATTACTTCTCCATTCTTGTCATCTGCCTCACCACCACACTATGCAACACTGCCATAACGATGACAAGCACAGCAGTAAAGAAGTTCACTTTGTGCACTTTATCAATCTTCTTTTTTTTTTAATTTTCTTAGGAAAATTGCAACAGCAAAAGTACAGTATATAAGCCAAAAATGGAGTCTGTACAATGTTAACAAGCTTGAAAGTGAATATTTGGTATGAACACCTTTGTTCTTCAATACAGCCTGAACTCTCTTAGACAAGCTCTATTGCAATTTCTTCAGGAATCGTGCTCCATGGTGCGTTTTTACCATTATCATGCTCAAAAGTGAAGCTACTGCCAATCAGACACTTGACACAGACCAGTTGGTATTCAGGCTGGATCAGAATCTGATGGTACTGATGATACGTGAATTCCATCAATTTTGACAGGAGTTGTACCTCTCTCCTGACCTCCTCCATACACAGACCAGACCAGACCAATTAAAGATATCAAATTCATATTCATCACTCCATAAGACCTGTTCCCACTAATTTTCAGTCCAGTTCTTGTGTAATTTGCACAAAAGTATAGGTATTCTTTATTTAAGTAGAAGTTAAAAAGTACTGAAGTGCTTTTACTTCTTTACTTTATTCAAGTTCAATCTGCTCTGAAATGTACTCAAAGAAGGAAAGTAAGTACTTTGTTGAAGGACATCATAAATCTAACCAGTTTATCCTGCACACTGTTTGTTTTGCAGATAGTTTCAGAAAACTTTCAAAAATTACCTGCCAGTTAAAAAATGTTTATCCCTTTTTTTGTTCGCTCTGCTTCTGTAAGTACTGAAGAAGTACTGCAACTAGAAGACAGAAGGACATCTGCACCAGTTCCAGATCGTTCTGCCCCCATGACAAAAGTACTATGAAGCTCTTTTTCATTTCCTTTTTATGCGATAATCCCTCTGGTAATGATTGCACTCATAAGATTTCTGTGTTTTTGTTCCCCGTTATTTAGGCTCAAATCACTTTCATGCACATTGTGACCAGCTTGTAGTAAGAAATTACCTGAAGATCTAATTCAGGTTTTTTGTGCTAAGTTGTATGTTACCTGTAGACACAGAATTGGTTCATCCCTTGAGTCAGGTGCTTTTTATATGATTGAAGGATTTATGGGTGGCTTAACAAACAAATATTTCTCTGAAAATGGTCATATACAAGGACTGGACTGAAAACGATTGAAAAAGCAGACAATGTCCAAAGAGAAACTTTGAAAGACCGTTAAAAAATAAAAAAAAATACAAGAAATCTGTCTCCTTGGAACATTTTTACACAACACTGTGATAATGATTGGCATATTTTGTATGTTTCTTAAAGAGAAGCTTGATAACAGATTAGGGTTTTTTGTTAGTAGCTTTAGAAAGATGTAGCTATGGTAGATGAGGCTTTAGAGTTCATTTTGTGAAAAAACTGGGATAAAATCGTTCCAAAAAGTAGCTCAGTCCCATAAAACAGAAAATATTGCTCCATCATTGCTGTTCCTCATCGGTACTGATTTGTCAAAGCTGTTTCTGATTTGTGGGCACTTATAGCTCCCAGTATAGCATTAGGGATGCGTTTAAAATGCTTATAATGTTCCAAGGATATGTCAGGTCATTTGACACAGTATAATGCTTATACTCTGGTGGTGACTTCGTGGTGAGGTGGGTCAACATACGCCTAACATGCAACAGATTCCTGATTTGCGACTGGGAGTAGACAAACCCAGCGTCAGGCGGTCACGAGCTAATGTACTCCTAGTGCCGTTCCCAAGCCAGGAAAAATGGGAGAGTTGTATCGGGAATGGCATCCGGTTTGGATCCATGTACTGTGGTGATTCGTTTGAAAAGAAGGGAGCAGCTGAAAGTACCCATAATGCTCATGTGCTGGTGATGCCAGTGTAGGAAAACCTTGATAAACTATCATTACTATCCAGTCAAGTGAATTTAACTCTTTGTTCTTTGCTTTGGCAGGGGACAACATCGGATGGGCAGATCTATTTGCCCGCACACTACAGAAGACTAACCCTGTGGACCAGTACTTCCTCAATGAGTGTTGTAAGTGTGTGTGTGCACATTAATACACCACGGGGTAGAAATATGGGACTCTCCACCATTTGACCCTAGAACTGAAAAAGCTTCTCGGATGAGAGGTGAAACCAACCTAAAGAAGTCCAGACGCTTTTCTTTGCAAGCTCCTTAGACTACGATGACCTGGATGACTGAGAACCTTCACAGATACATTAATACATGTAGACCACAGAGAGACATGATACAAATGATCAAAGAAGGAAAATATGATCAGTTTTTGACATCAGCTAGCAAATAATACAAATGATGTGACCTAGAAAAGAAAAAGTTGCCCCACCAAAGATTAATGGACAGCAATTAGCAAATTCTGACAGCTGGATACGACAGCACACGACTCACAGAATTGACTGTTATGTTGACACTGAGGGAGAACTGTGTTGGGCTCTGGAGAAAAACAAAAGCCATGTTTTCATTCGACAAATAATTTTCAATGAGCCTCTAAATAAAAAACAATGTGTGTGTGTCTGTGTGTAGTATTGCAGGAGTTTCCAGAGAGCTGTGACTGCATACAGACAGATGTTGAGTGTGTGGAGGTCAGCCTGCAGGATGTTCCGTCGCTCTCGCCAAATGTTACCTGGCTGTAAGTGTCCTTTGACTCCAAGCACTCTGTCCTCTTCAAGTGATTTGTTATTTTGTAGGTTAGGTTATTACAAGCTGTAACGGCTTGGCAGGTAACAACAGCCCATGTCATTGTGGGTGTGTCACCGTGGCAAAATATGGCCTTGAAGACAGCTATACGCCAAGAACAACAAAAGAGGTAGTTTTGAGTACTCAAAGGTGTTTCTCTGTCTGTCACAGTCCCACAACCATACATGGTACAGCCACAAAGGTTTACAGGTTTGGAGAGCCCATGGATACTGACTAAATGGAGAAAAACCTCTCTGCATGTCTCTAAAGAAAAGAAAAAAATATATATATATATATCTCATTAATCTTGCTTTTCTCATTCCATCAGCTCAATTGCTTGTTACTGTAATAATTTATTGATCCATTGATTTGAATACTGAAGATAAAAGTTAAAAAAATTGAGATTGAAAAGTTGAAAAGATTTTTATTTATATTTTAGATCTATATTAAAATATTGAAGCACAGTTTAATATCCTGGGGGAAAAAATAGGGTATGATTGTCAGCAGACTAATTACAAAAGGTATACTGAGCCTTGTGTGAATTGCAGCTACAGTTCTTTCAAAAATCGCATTCACTTATTTTTATTAGTCAGTGCCAAATTAAATTTACATATATTATACATATTTCTGCATGCCTGTAGTTTGTGTGATGGTTTATTGCACATAACGTGTCAGACATTTCATCGCTTTCTCTCAGTTTTTTCCTCTTTGTGCAAAACGTATGTTTGTGTTTTTCTTACAGCCACATTTGATGGGTTGTGTTACAGGTCCCTGAGGAGCAATGAGATCCGAGTGTTGTCCGATTTTGTTTTCTCAGAATACTCTGCCCTGGAGAGACTGTGAGTATTTTTATGCTGCCATCCTTGTGCGGCCTTATAGTGTGACATACTGGACCTGAGCATCCGGTTTTTCCAGTAGATGACTGTTCCATCTACTTGTCTGTTGACAAGAAGATACATTTTCTGTGTTATTTCTTAATAATCATGTAATAAAGGGTAACAATAATATTTCTCTTACAGGTGAAAATAGGATTTTAAGAGCATATGAAAGTTTTCTGTTTTTCCTATTGTCTCAAACATAGTTTGAAATAAAAGAGAATTTGTTATTTTTATTCTGTTCTGTTTTCAGGTTTCTGCAGAACAACAGCCTCCACTTCATATCTAAGCATGCATTCAGCAGTCTGCACAATCTAAAGAGGTTGTAAGTATCCTGCCTCGTTTCCCCTGAAGCAAGTGTATTAATTTTGTTTTCCTTCAGTTCTCTTTTGTGTTACAGGTCAACTTCAATTAATTTTTTTAAACCTGAGTGGTACTCATTTCTTACATGGAGAAAAGCAGTTGTAATATGTGTTTTGACTCCAGGCTTTTCTGTGGAGTCTGTGGGAATGAGCAAAGCTGTGCATTTAAAAAAAAAAAAAAAAAAAGAGAGAGAGAGAGACAGAGAGAGAGAGACAGAGAGAGGATCAAGGTGGCTTTTTTTTGCAAGCCAAAATTTCTGTTTCTGTGTTTCGTTTATGAAATGTCAACAAATAAAACTGTGGAAAAAATGCCATCATTTATTTAAACTGTCTAAAGATGACTTCAATTTTTGTCTGACCAAAAATCATACCCAAAACTATGGGTATGTCCTATGATTATACCTTTGCTGTATTTTGTTACTTTCAAATGTAGTCATTATAGTTGCCTTTTTTATGACCAAACTTCTTGTGCTTTTCATGCTTTCTCTTAGGTTTCTCAGTGAGAACTTAATCTCCTTCCTCAGTCCCGGTGTGTTCGGGGATCTAAATCAATTGGAGTGGCTGTAAGTAACTCAAAAGCATACAGATGTGCACTTTCAATAGTCACAAATACGAATACATGGTAGCAAGGAGACTGTGTTAAAAAAAAAGTTATCCAAAGACTGCAACATTTTGTTAATTTTGCTTTTAATTTTAAAGGTTGAGATGCAAAAGTTGTCCATTTGATCCACAGGTTGGAAACAAATCCACTAGCTGGATATAAAATTATTTATTTAGGCAGCAGAGTGCAGAAGTGGAAATGGTGCAAAAATAACAAGTTTAAACGGTGCACAGATGTGTGGATTGACCTTTTTTTCTACCCGTGAAATCTTACTTGACTCAAGTAGTTTTTTCCCTTCTTTCTAAATTCTTCTGTAAAACACAAGCGCTAATGTTGTACTGTATGCTGCTATTGTGAAATACTGAAAATCACATTTGTTTAAAAATCATATTGGGTCACATTTGTAACACTTATCTAAAGAAATTGTAATCACCAATGACTTATTTAATGCAATTAGCAGTCAAACTGGGTAATCTTGTTTTGTGTGTCAGGATGTTGGACCATAACCCGCTAAGCAGCTTGTCCCAGGACACCTTCACTGGGCTCCAGTCTCTCATGTATTTGTGAGTTGCATTTTTCTTTTAATTTTATGTAATAATTTTGACTTGGATTTGTTTCTAGTCTAGGTCTACTCTGAGGTCTTCACTTACAAAATCAAAAGTCTTAAACTCTTGCAAACCTGAAAGCACTCAGTAGGAAAATAAACCTTACTTTGCAGCACATGTAAAAAAAAAAAGTGTTTATCATCTTACAAAAGTAATATCGTGCATTGCACTGAACTTTACTTATCTTTAAATATGCTACAATGCAAGCTATTTGCAAGAGGAAAGGTGAGAGTAAATCTATGATTAATGTTAAGAATTAAGTTTAATGCATGTTTAACTTCATATTACTGTTGCTTATGAGGGAGCTACTGTAGCATGCAGTACGGAGGCCTGTCAGGACAAAAATGAAGCCGCTAATTCCAGTGCACTTCAGATCACTTTGAGGTTTTCGTCATCTGGAATCTTTCACTTTGCTAGTTGTGTAATATCTTCCATATTCTTGGTTTCTACGCCCACTCATTTTATTCATTAGTCAAAAACCGGCCTGGCTTTAAGTGATGCAGAACAAGGTTTGTCTCTAAGAGTAGAGAACTTTCAAAATAATTGATGTTGTGAATATAAGAAATATGAGATAACTATTGTTCTTGTCCAATATCCTGGGCCATGACACACTTCTGATTAACTAAGCTGAATTTAGGGCAGCCGATAGTAGGCTAACTAATCCACATTGAGGCCTGGCTTAATTTGAGCTTAGTGTGTGAAACCAGCCATTTAACAAAGACCTGAAACCTGAGCTGTCGTTTGGGAAGTATTTTTAATTTCTCCCAGCTGTTTGGGTTTAGTTGGATCAGATAATGTAAAAAATAAAAAAAAATCATAATCTTTTAACAGATATTAAGTCATCTTATGGGGACAATGGCTTAATATCAACAAAGTATTAAACACTTTACTGAGCAGGATGACGTATACGGTGCAGAAAAGCCAAAACGTTATGTACCCATATGACGCAGGGTCTCAGGAGGTCAGGTCCTAAAGCCCTGGATTAATTTACACTAGGTAATGCTCAATCTGTGTTTACCTATTTCCCGCCCATCGTTCCCTTTAGATTAATTCCTTCTACTCTGTCCACTCTGACTCATAGACCTGGCCTAGCTCAACCCTAGCTGCTGCTCTTTCCACGACATGAGAACGTAATTTTGGTTCTCACAATACAATTTCTTGGAAATCAACTTCAGACCCGTCACCCTGAGCTGCATCTGCTTGGCTCATTCTCTGCATGTTTTCTTAAATCCAACCACAACAGGTATCCGTCTCACGAAATAACCCTTTAATGTTTATGTTTCAGACATAAAATGTGTTCTCACTCCACCTGCCTCCTCAAAGAGTGTTTGCACTTCCACGGAGGGACTGTTAGACGGGGATGACCATATGTCTCTCATTTGATTCCCCATTCATCTTTGGAATCAGAGTCCCTTGCCCTTACTGCCCGCTGAAGTGTTGCCACCCAAAATATTAAACATTGTTTTGATATGGAAACTGTTTCAGAGTTGAGGTCTGCCTGTGCCATAATTCTTAAGCAAATAGGGATTTTTTTACTCCACATAGTTAAAGCCCCATCAGCTACCATTTATATAGTTGGCTCAATGTCTGATTTTTTTTTTCTTTTGTTCATCTCAGCATCAGCAGAGATTTGAAGAAAGAAAATTACAGTGAACAGTTTGGTACATCCATTCTGTTATTGTTTGGCAGTGCAGTTGTGAGCATATGTCATTCCTGCCTTGGAAGAACTTATGTATCTAGCATATTTCTTGAGGAATGAAGCACTCTTCTCATTGGTTAGAGGGAAGTCAGTTTGACACAACTGTCCAAGTCCAGAACTGGCAAAACATCCCTACACTTGAATATTCCTACCACCTCATTTCAGTGTGGGCTTGATGCGCTGCCATATCATTCTCTGTCTTGTACATCTCAGACTTCTATTACTGGCAGAAACCAAAAACTTGGTTTCATCAGAAAATGGAGTTTTCCAGTCATCCGCGGTGAAATGCGGATATGTCTAAGCCCACCCAAAGCATCTGGACATGTGTTCCTTTCCCGAGAAGTGATTTAGAAGAGACCTTTTTCTATCACTGATGAGAAGCTTGATGTGTATCTTCTTTGAGGTCATAGCATTTTGGTCTCTCCGGCCATGCTTTGGATAAAAATGCTCCAGTTTCAACCCCTTGTTTTATAGCAGGTGAACAATGGCTGCAAGATCATTTAGTTAATTAGCCTCTAATAATAAATGTAATACATCCACCTGTGTGATATGAACAAAAGATACAACTCAAGGAACTGTAAGCTTTTGGATAAAACAGGTCCGTGCAAAACAATCAAGCTTCAACTTCATGGAGAGAAAAAAAATACTCAGAATTTCTGATTTTCTCAGCAAAGATGTACCTGTAACTTTATTTTGAAAGGTTCGTGGGTGGACATTCTTTTGTACATGCAAATATACTTACTAGAGATGGACTGATCCGATATTACATATCGGTATCGGTCCGATACTGACGTAAATTACTGGATCGGATATCGGAGAGAAATAAAAAATGTAATCCGATCCAAAAAAAATAAATACCAAAAAAGCACCACACAAAACTTTCGACACGGCGTAACTCTCCTCATAACCGTACCACGTTGGAGCAGTGTGCTCACGTGATAGAGCGGCTGTGTGTATTTGTAGCTTCGCTACCAAACCAGCATTTCATCTCCGAGGAAGTGATCCCAGAGAGAAGTAAAGCAAGTGTGTAAGTTCATCTCTGAATGTTTGTAAAGCATTCCCGCGTTAAGCTTAACAACCGATGTATGGAGCGACTGCCTCTTCTCTCCCCCTCCCTCTCCTGCTGCTACTTCAATCATGAAACTGCTTAATGATCAGCTGATCGGCTTTTCTGTCGCGAGTCCATCTCTCTTGTTTGTTTATCTCCCACTTTGCACCAGAAAGAGGAAACCAGCGGCTGAATAACAGAAGCACGTTTAAGCTTGATAAGCTGTTAGAATTTATTTACTTTCTACACCAGGATCTTTTTCTACGTAGCTGACGGCTGGTAACTGTGCAGGGGCGGATCTAGCAAAGTTTAGCCAGGGGGGCCGATAGGACATGAACAGGGAGAAGGGGGCACAAAGACATACTTTTCTTTCTTATTCTCATTTAAAATGTCAAGCTTTTATTAAATAATTATCTGAATCTTACACCCAAAGTTTTAATTTGATGTAAAATGTAAATAAGTCCATTACTGTATATAGTAACTATTAAGTCTAATATACCCTAGTAAGCTATATTACTTTTTCCTTTGGGGAGGTACCATCTGTGCAGTCTGCAGTTCTGTTAAAGAAAGATGTTGAATCTATTTAATAATTCTTGAAAAATAATTTCTTTCTGTGCATTTTTTTTTCACACTGCAAATTAAGGTTGATTACGTTGATTAAGCATCATGAGGTGGAGCGTGAGGGGTGGTTCCTTATTTTTTTTGTTGGTTTTTTTTGTTTTGTTTTTTTGCTGGGAGTTTTAGAGCCCTATTAGTTAGGTTGCTTACTCTTTAAAATACCAGAATAGGGAGGATGGAGTAGGTTTAAGTTTATTAGATTGATCAGTATTGCTGAACTATGAAATATTTTGGGTGCAGTGCATTTTTTGCATACAGGTATAACAGAATAGCTTTAGTGGTTTTTTTTTTGTTTTTTTAACTTAAGTATGAACTTATACAAAAAGCAGCAAGATATTAAAAAAATTGTTTTATTGATTAAAAAACACATTATGTCGGATTCATATCGGTATCGGTCGATATCCAAATTTATGATATCGGTATCGGACATAAAAAAGTGCTATCGTGCCATCTCTAATACTTACCTTTCAAAATGTATATAAAAGTTCCTGGGACATAATTTAATAACATCCCAAAGTCATATAAACTGTGTGATAATGTCGTGTATACACTAACTTTTCTTTTTAGAATTTACAGCCTGCCTTGCTGGTGAAATAACAGCCTGTACATAAACAAAGATAATAAAGTTATGAGTCAAGTATATGACATGTGAAAATTTTTCCATGCAAACATGTTGCTGCTTCCTGCTGTCTGTCTGACTTTTGACTTACTTTTGCTTGACTGACCCCCGATCCTACACTCTGAGGATCAGCACATTTATATATGGATGACAAGAAGTCCAGGAGTAATTTGGCTCTTAAAAGTCACAGTCTAAGCCTTACATCTGTTTAGTAGTCACTCTACAACTCTGTTCGGTCCTATTTAGTTTTGCGATTAAATGTCTTCCTCCCCCCTTCAGGTCCATGGTGAACACTTCACTGCAGCAGCTTCCTCATCCAAGCTTCTGTCAACACATGCCTGCCTTGGACTGGCTGTGAGTGAGAGTGTACTTGTGTGCATGCAGGTGTGTAGTGCATGTGATGTTAGTGCACTAAAAAGTGTAGCAGTTCTGCTGATGTGTGTTTGTCCTTGTTTGCATATATAAATAACAAATTAAACTGGTATCATAGAGGTGATACTGAGTTGCATGACGGTTTGAGTTAGCCGATATCTCTGGGGCTGCTCAGATTTGCTTTATTTTTTTCTGAGCAGATTAAGTGCAAGAGAAAATATTCCATTTACTTTTTCTTTCATAACTTTTACCAAAAATCTATGAAAATTCCACCCTTATATTTGTATGTTTAGTAAATGTACATTTTTATTTTCCCTCTCCTCCTGTTTTCACTACTCTCAGGGATCTTGAGGGAAACCAGATTCAAACTCTTAACTACTCTATCTTAAAGACATGCAGCAAGCTTGAAGTTTTGTGAGTATCCTGCTTTATTAAAAGTTCAATAAGAATGCTGAAAGCTCAGGGTTTAAATCTGCGCACCACACAGAAAGTTTCCCAAAAGATAAGGTAACGAGAGGTGTTTTTTGATCTTCAGATGCTGCATATATACTCAGCAGCTACTTTGTTAGGTACACTTGTTGAACTACTCAATAACACAAATATCTAATCGGCCAAACAAATAGCCGCAACTCTGTGCATGTAGGCATGAAAACATGGTCAAGACGACCTGCTGAAGTTCAAATGAATGTCACGAGGCTGAAGAAGTCACTTGAATGAGTGACAAAACGTTTCTCCCACTGAAAACACTATGCCCAGATGAACATAATCAAGTTTTTAGGATGTCTAAAGAAGACTGTAAAAATGTTGTCTGGTCTCATGAGTCATGATTTCTGTTGCAACATCTGGATGTTAGCATTTGGCATTAACAACAAGAAAGCATGGATCCATCCTGCCTTGTGTCAAAGCTCGGGTTAGTGGTGGAATAGTGTTGGGGATATTTTCTTGGCACACGTTGTGTCCCTTCAGACCAGTGGAGCATTGTTTAAACACAACAGCCTACCTGAGTATTGTTGCTGACCATGACCACAGTGCACCCATCTTCTCATGGCTCAGATCACTTCGAACTGGTTTCTTGGACATGGCTTCTCAACATCTCAACCCAGTAGAGCAGGTGTTTCAAACACAATGGCCCAACAAAGACAAAACTATGCATAAGACAAGACCCCCCCCCCACAGCCATTCAAACTAGTAGATAAACAATTAAATAAAAAGTTTGTGTCTTTCATTTTTTTGCATTTTACAAAGTGTCCACAGTAAAAAGAATCACTTGTTGAAATGTTGCTCGTGTCAGAACTATAACAGAATGTGATATAGATACAATATTACAGCTGTTGCATTGTTAGTCTACAGCAAGTGTTAGTTAAGTGTAATGAAGATGTGTTTGTGCATGTTTAATATATCTCTGAGGTCTCAGTTGTGCCTAAACGCAGTTAATGTTGTGTTTACAGGAAATACATTAGAAATGATGGACTTTTCATATATCAATGCAGTTAGTTAATCATCCTTAAGGGACTTAAGTGGCTTAAGTTTTTAGAAAATCTCCCATTTTAATCCTTTAATTATGTTTTATTCATTTTATTTTATCTGTTCACCTAAGTTTATCTCCTGTTCTCTCCCCTTGGTGCGCCCACCCTCAGACACACTTGTTCTATTTTTATTTATTTTATTAATTAACAAGAACAAATTCTGCTGTGCAATCAGATCTTTAAGAAATTGGTCAAACAAGCATAGAACTAGAAATTGGCGCAACTAAATGTGACTATCAGGCCTGGCCTAAACTTGCTTGGAAACTTGGCTCAGGCAAAAAATTACACTGTGGCAGGCCTGCTGATCTTGGCTTAATTAGGCTTCTCACCAGCTCTTTTCCTGCAGTCATACTTGGAGTTGGCCTCGGCATGCAATCATGTCACTAGACCCAGCAGCTCCGGAGAATATGTTTAAGTAAAGCTTTTCCTGGGCACATTGTGCTCTTCATTTATTTTTATCCCAGATGTGGAGGGTCACTGGGTTAAATAGGACATAAACAGAAATTAATGCTCTGGGTTTTAGTCTGCCAGGTTATTATTCCAGGTCCGTCACTACCATGTGATAGTGAGCTTGTGGGATGGCACCTATTCATTCACTTGTCACCACATCACAGTGGATTGTGTATATGGATCTTTTGCTTCCCACTGTCAACAGGATCACCTCATACACCAACAGAAGCCAGACAAATGCCATACACTTAAATTTAAGCTCTTCCACTTCGGTGAGCCAAGTCTCAATCTCCTTGGTGGATGCTGCATCCCTGACCTCACCAAGGCTGCCGACTTGCTGTTTCACAAATGGCAATGCAAAGCCCAACAGTAAAGCATGTTGTTTTTAGGACCTATCAGAGCAGCTCATGTGCCTCAGAGGAGGTTAAACTGAGATCTAGACAGACGTGCAATCAAGGTTTGTTTCAAATGAATGCATGTGCGGCATTTTTAAACTCCACAAATAAAAACACAACATAGGGCTGAGAGGAGATGAGCCATGAGGTTTGGCAGTGAAATGAGCTGAATTAGAGGAAAGGATTCACATGAAGTTCAGTGAGTACGGAGGCCTAAGCAGGGTCATGCAAACTTTGAGGACATGGTTAAGACTGACTAAAGTAAATGAGATTGTATCCATTTATACCAGTTTTCCAACAGCACTTTGCAGCTCTCTGCATGGTTTCTGACAGCAGCTCTGCCTTCTTCAGGTTACTGATAGACAACAGGATTAGGACAATTCCCGAAAACACCTTCCAGTCTCTGTGGAAGCTGGCCGAACTGTGAGTAAGAGCATATTCACAGAAAGTCAGTAAAAGCATGTCAAAATAAATAAATAAATATACACCACTGTCTTCAAGTTCACTCAAAGAGATTCTGGTGAGGCTGGTGTTAGAGAGGTTTTGTTCTGATGAGATATGAAGTGTCAGGGATGAGTAAGAAAAGAAACCTGTGTAGAATTTCATGCAAACATTATGTATCTGCGCATTTATTTAAAGCCTTTGCTGTTTTCTATGCATGTTTACACTGTCCATGTTTGGAATTGAATGAGAAAAATGTAAATGTGCTATAAAATGAGTCAGGAGGTTTAATTTTTCCCTTTTCTCTTTCATCCTCTTTAGGGATCTGTCTAGGAACAGGATTAGGGAGCTGCCAAAAAACACCTTCAAGAGTCTCTCCAATTCCCTCCTTAAACTGTGAGTAAATGATAGTGTGGAAAATCATTCGTCATTATGTGGGTTTTGTAACAGGACTGAATTAGGACAAGGTCTAAAGTAGGATTAAGAAAAAATAACTTTGTGAAGGTTTCTGAGAATGTGACTTATTCTTAGTGGGATACATGGTGGCTGTAATCAGATGCAGAATAAAACTATTTTTGTTGGAAGCTCTGAAAGAAAGAATTTATAATGTAAAAGAAAAATCAATCACGAAACTGTTGCATTGAGTTAAAATAATAAGTGCAAGCATCATATTTTTAGATAAACTGAGTTTATTTATGTGCCAATTCTATATAATCCTCCATTAATCCTCTTACTTCATTTTCATTTAGTGGTATTTTGAGCTTCTTTTCCACTGTGTGAGAGGAAAATGATATATAGTAATGTAACATAAGAAATATTTACAAACTGAAGACAGGCAGTAAAATCCTGCATCAAACTGCAGTATGTAGTAGGGTTTTTTGTACTTGATATTTAAGTATTACTTCACTGTTTGTGACCCACAATGTATGATGACTTTGACTTCTCTGATTTCAAAGGCTCATCAAATCAAATATGATACACTCAGCGTTACAAGGTTAACTCTGATCGTCCGTGTAACTCACAGTTTTAGAGCTGCTCCTCGTATGCATTGTGTCGTGCATTAAGGCATATGGACTGTTTTGATTTTGTAGTGTTAAATGTATGTATAAAATGTCTCAGCCTTTTCTATGCATACTCAAATCTTCCACTTATTACGTAAAAACAACATTTCTGTACTTTTGCCTCTTAGTGCTGAAGGGGAAAAAATTATCAAAATGAATGAACTTTGAGACAAACCTGTTTATGAGCAGCAGCTGAAGACCTTTTTTTGGGAAAGGAGGGGCCAGGAGTCAGAGTAACAGCGCATGAATAATTGCTTTCATAAAACTATTGCGCTCCAGTTGGTCCGCTGGCTCCGTGTGTGTGTGTGTGTGTGTGTGTGTGTGTGTGTGTGTGTGTGTGTGTGTGTGTGTGTGTGTGTGTGTGTGTGTGTGTGTGTATAACTCCCTAACGATCACTAGCTAAGACTTAACTAGAACAATGAGATTAGGCTATTTTCCACAGCACGAGCTATCCATGGAAACGTTTTTGAGTCTTGTTGATCCCACACCTCACAGGAAAGAGACAGGCGGAGAAGGCGGACTAGGGGTCTGCTATTTGAATCACTCGCATCACAGAAGAATTGCTGTTTATTGAGACTTTTGGGACAATCTGCTGCCCTCATTCGATGTCACATAATGCACATACAGTAACACATCCAATGGAGTGCATCCCCCTTTCAGTGACAAAACAGGCCTGGCCCATCAAGGGTTGGACTCGACTAGACCCCGGAAGGTGTGCTGTGGTATCTGGCACCAAGATGTTAGCAACAGATCCTTCCATCGTGTAAACTGTGAGGTGGCGCTTCCATGGATCAGACTTATTTCTCCAGCACATCCTACAGGTGCTCGATTGGATTGAGATCTTAGGAATTTGGAGGCAATGTGAACACCTCAAACTCATCGTTGTGCTACTTTTTGCTTTTTGGTGCCCTGCAGTGGACACACTGGGTCCAAAAAGCAGCATGGTCAACATGGGTACCATGAATGATCTGTGAAAATGCAGCACAATACACAATAAACTGTGATGCACAGTATATTCTGACATGTTTTCATCAGTTTGCAGTACAACAGCTCATATGTTGGATCGGACCACACAAGCCAGCCTTCGATTCCCACGTGCATCAATGACCCTGCTGCTGGTTCACCACTGTTCTTTCGTTGAACCACTTGGGATAGATAGTGACCACTACAGACTGGGCACACCTCAAAAAAGCTGCTCTGACCCAGTCGTCAACCCATTACAGTTTGGCCCTCGTCAAACTCGCTGAAATCCCTACGCTTGCCCTTTTTTTTTTTCTTGGAAGTGCAGGCTGATCTCACAGATCACTGCTGTCACTTCAAAAGCTGTCCATCGTGAAGCGACTTACAAAGCAGGAAAAAATATATTATGTCAAAGTATCAAAATATGCTATTGCACAGATCTATCCTGCCATTGTTCATTGCAACATTTCTGGCTTGTAGTTATTCAGGCCCTCTAAAGAAGACTTTAAATCTACTCTAAACTATGTAATCTGAGCAGGGGGAAAAGTGCAGAAAGCATTCTGTATCTAATGTCAGGTGTAATTGGACACAGACCTGTTTTTTTACTTGTTTTAAACAATCAAGGATGTCAGGAATGTACTGTCATTTGGCCATTTGTTATATTTCATGTTGACAGGCTTTGTTGTGTTTATCATCTGTTTCTTGTTTCAGAAATATCTCCCATAATCCTCTCCTCCGTATTCATCCAAGCCATTTCCACCACCTGACACATCTTCAGTCTCTGTAAGTACTCTGACATACACACGTTTGCCTGTTTTTATACATGTGAGGACCTTTATTGCCCTGAGCCTCAAACATCACAACTACATGCTTAATTTTAATAACTTTCCTCTAAACGTTATTCTAACCTCAATCATGAATACTAGTTTAAATCTTCAAACACTTCTTTGAAGTCATCTGGGACTCTCCAGAATATCTTTCTAATGCATTAATGGCTTCTTCACTTTGATGTCTTAATGCTGAAATTGGTCTTCAGAGTTTGCTGTAGTCTAGTGCGGTGGTGAAATCTGTTATTTCCTACAGAGCGCTGGAGGGAATTGAGATCACAGATATTCAGACTAAGGTGTTCCTTCCCATGAAGAACCTCTCCCACATGTATGTGTAACACACAGCCGTCACTTCAGAAGAACCAGCATGTTTTGTCATCTCTTCTTTGTCGGTTGTGTTTTTGTTTGTTTTTTACAATTTTTCTCTTTTCTCTACAAGCTATTTCAAGAAGTTTCAGTACTGTTCCTACGCACCTCATGTGAGGTCCTGTAAACCCAACACAGATGGCATCTCTTCTTTTGAGGACCTCCTGGCTAACATGGTGCTGCGGGTGTCTGTCTGGGTCATGGCCCTCATCACCTGCTTCGGTAATCTGTTTGTCATCGGCATGAGGTCGCTGATTCGTGCTGAGAACAACCTGCATGCTGTCTGCATCAAAGTTCTCTGCTGTGAGTAACAACGTAGCACCGGGTGAGACAGTCTCGCAAAATAAAAGTACTTGTAAAAGCAGCAATAAATCTAAATGTCAAGCTGTTCTTTTGGAAAGTGAATAAGTCAGCTTAGCCTTGCTTCTATCCAATGAAACAGGATGAAGAAGTTTGTTATACTGGGATGGGATCAAACTGCTTGGAGACTTCCCAATCTACACACTTCTCCTTCATTCTCCTCTTTCACATTCCCTGTGCCTTTCTATGCCACTGTTGCAAAGCCTACTCCAAAAATGCAAAAACTGGGATGTTTTGTAAAGTGGAAATAAAAACAGAATGCAGAAATGAAATAAGGAAAAAGTTCCAGATAAACTATCAGCTCATTTTGAAATCGATGATAGCAAAATTTACCAGTGTATAGCATCCTGCCTTCATTTAACATCAGTCCATAAAAGTCTGGGACCTGAGGAAACCAGCAGCTGGACCTTTAGAAGTGTAGCCTTTTCCCATTCTTGTCTGACAGAGGACTCTAGCTACTCGGCAATCCTGGGTCTAATGCACCCTCATACCATTAGAGAGCCAGGCATCCATGTTTTCCAAAATGAATTTTAAATTTCAATTTGTCTGACCACAGAATAGTTTTCCGCTGTGCCTCAGTCCATTTTAAATGACCTTTGACCCAGAGAAGATGGTAGCATTTCTGGATCATGTTCACATATGGCTTGTTCTTTGCATCATAGAGCTTTAAACCTTCTTGGATGGCACAATGAACTGTGTTCACAGACAGTGAAATCTGGAAGTGTTACTGAGCACATGCAGGGATTTCCATGACAAAATCAAGTCTGTTTTTATTGCAGTAAAGTCTAAGGACCTGCAGATTATGGGCATCCAGGACTGGTATTTTTCTCCAGATGCATCTTTTGATGATATTTTGTACTGTAACTGGTGAGGTATCCAAAGTCTTCATAAATTTGCAGTGAGGAAAACTGTTCTAAAATTCTTCAATTTGTGTTTTTTCTTTTCTTTTCTTTTTAAACAGATTTGTGAACCTCTGCGCATCTTTACTTCTTAGAAACTCTGCCTCTCAGGGATGCTCTTTTTATACCCACTCATGTTTCTGATTTGTTGCCAGTGATCCCAATGAGTTGCAAAAAGTCTCTGCAGCTGTTTCTTTTTAGTATCACTTACTTTTGTTTTCTGTGTTCTGTTGTGAATAGCACGTGACTATGGGTTTATGAGATTGGTATTTGTGTTTACACAGGATCCCAACTTTTTCTGGATTTGGGATTGTAGTTTGCGTCTCCCCTCATGGTAAAAAGCTTCCCTCCCTGAGTCTGTTTCTATTTGAGGTTTCTTCCTCTTTAGAGGGAGTTCTTTCACGACTCTGTTGTCTATGGCTCGCTCATATGGGATTGTCCAATCAAACCATGGGATTGTGGCTATATTAGATTGTCACAATATGAACAAAACTGTCTGGAGGCAAAATTGTTTCCACTTGGTTTGTTTCCAGAAGTAAAAACATGTTTAATTTTTTTTTTTTATTTAATGTCAGAAATCTAACAGCATTGTGTTAGAGAAAACAAAAACAAGAGACTAACTCACTAAGACTCTGAGATGGAGGGAAAAGGAAATGAAGATGTTTGCTGCAAACCATGCAGGTTTTTGGTTTTTTGTTCTGCTGTACTTCTTAAATTGTTTACTTTGTCTTATTTGTACATTATTTACGGAGCACCTTTTCTTTGGAGATTGCAGATAGTTGCGTCGTTAATGTGAGGAGCAGATTGTTCTTTTGTTTTTGTTTTTTGTTTATTTACTCTGTCATTAATGAATAAGTAAAGAAACATAATCATCTAATTCAAGGACGGGCTTTCTAGGAACATTAAAAATTTGATATAATAGATTAGACGTGAGAAGCAAGTGGGCTTGAGTTCAGATCCTTAATTAATAAATGGAGGTCAATTTTGAATCTGTGAGAAATGCCTCTTAAAATGCAGTTGAGGTCCTGTCAGATCATTAAAGAAATTCACAGTCACTCAGAGATTGTTTGAGCAGACCCCCACCCCCCAAACCTCGGGTTGAGAGGTTTAACAATAAATATATCAAAATTTGTGAAACTTTAGCAGCTATAATGCATTTAACATCTCACTAAAATTGCATTTTTAATCCAGGGGTGTCTTTGGTTACAGGGAATCATGTTTTTACAGCAGTAATAACTTAGTGAAGAAGAGATTATTGTGCAGCTATTAGTAAGTATAAATTTAGATTGCCATAGTCTTCTTAAAATTAAGATGCTAACCACAACGACTGAAAATATGCTTTACGTTTAATTTCTAACATTCTAATAAGTAATTACACAGGACACAGAGGGTTCATGTGGTACTCATAAATATACTTTGATTAGTGTGTGATTACATCTTCCAACAAATTGATCTGTTTTCAAAAATTCTGATTTTATCCATTAAAAATACAAAGGAGCATGCATCGGTTTGTGGAAGCCACCAACAACAACAGCTGGTTATAAGCTAACATCATGTATCCAAAAAATCACAGTTTCCTTCTCATAAACAGTTTGTTTATATTCTTGCACCATAGGGTAGCGTTTTTTCATGAGGTGTCCGTTAGAGCCACTATAAAGGAAGTTTCACTAATGTTAATGTTAATGACTAACAGCAGCTAACAACAGCATTTCCCAACAGAAAAGTTTAGCATATCTCAAACAACAATAAGAGGAGGGGGTGGAAAATCTCAGAGTGAACGGCTGCTGTTTATTTCAAATCATCCTCAAGAAACTGTGATTTTGGATGAGACAGGTTTTAAAGTCTCAGTTTTAAACTCACTGAAAAGCCTTCAGCTAATCCAAAACGCTGCAGCAAGAGTACTGACAGGGACTAGAAAGAGAGAGCATATTTCTCCTGTTTTGGCTTCCCTTCATTGGCTTCCTGTTAAATCCAGAATTGAATTCAAAATCCTGCTCCTCACATACAAGGTCTTAAATAATCAGGCCCCATCTTATCTCAATGACCTTGTAGTACCATATCACCCTATTAGAGCACTTCGCTCTTGCTCTGCAGGCCTACTTGTTGTTCCTAGAGTATTTAAAAGTAGAATGGGAGGCAGAGCCTTCAGTTTTCAGGCCCCTCTTCTGTGGAACCAGCTTCCAGTTTGGATTCGGGAGACAGACACTATCTCTACTTTTAAGATTAGGCTTAAAACTTTCCTTTTTGCTAAAGCATATAGTTAGGGCTGGACCAGGTGACCCTGAATCCTCCCTTAGTTATGCTGCAATAGACATAGGCTGCCGGGGGATTCCCATGATGCATTGAGTTTTTCCTTTCCAGTCACCTTTCTCACTCACTATGTATTAACAGACCCCTCTGCATTAAATCATATCTGTTATTAACCTCTGTCTCTCTTCCACAGCATGTCTTTTATCCTGTCTTCCTTCTCTCACCCCAACCGGTCGCAGCAGATGGCCGCCCCTCCCTGAGCCTGGTTCTGCCGGAGGTTTCTTCCTGTTAAAAGGGAGTTTTTCCTTCCCACTGTTGCCAAAGTGCTTGCTCATAGGGGGTCATATGATTGTTGGGTTTTTTTCTCTGTATCTATGAAGCGCCTTGAGGCGACTTATGTTGTGATTTGGCGCTATATAAATAAAATTGAATTGAATTGAATTGAACAATCACTTCAGTATCACTGTCATCAGACGTGAGCTTCACTGTCTCATCGACTCATATCGGACTCCTTTCACAAAGTTTTACAGCCTCCTAATAGACACCAAACAAACTGACAGCAGACTGACAGCCTACACTCCCTACAGATGAACAGACACCAGAGCTGTTTGTCCTAGAGTGGCCACCATACCTAAGGTGATGCACTTGAATTGGGAGGGGTAAGAAAACAGTTGACTGCAATCTAGTGCATCTAGATCTAGTGGTGAGATTTTACACACAGTTTTAGTCAACGCTTACCTAATTTCTTTCCAACCCACCTATCTGCATATAGCAAGATCCATCCATGCTTGTGGTTCCATTAATCTTGCCTGTTGTGGTGACTTAAAAAATATTATGATACTGTTTTTGGGAAGGATGTAGCTGACAGATGGGCTTATAATCACACAGGGCACATCTGCCGGTAAATAGACTCATAGATGTCATCCTTATCATCCAGGTGCTGACTGCCTCATGGGCGTGTACCTGTTTTTTGTTGGCGTATCTGATGTAAAATTCCGCGGTCAGTACAACCGTAACGCCCTGCTGTGGATGGAAAGTGCGGAGTGTCGGATCATTGGATTCCTGGCCATGCTCTCCTCAGAGGTACTGCCCATGTATATATCACACTTCAACACACGCAAATATGCATGCAGATTGAGACGAACTGATCTGTACTGTAAAACTGACACATCACAAGGAGTTGCACTTACACATCCTTCGCTTTTTGCTTGTACTTTTGCCCTGCTGTTTTCAGCTAAAGTAGCTTCAAGATTAAAATCATCTTTTGTTCCGCTCACTGGCCGTATCAGCTTGTTTCGGCTCTGCATTGTATAAATATCATGTTTGCAGACTAAAGTACTCATATTATGCTCTCTTTTACTTTAAAAACGTGTTTATAATTCACTCTCACTCATTGCTTTTAGCTGTTGCAGATGGAGACATAACAAGCCTCAGCTGGAGTTTAACAACCCGTCTCAGAACTTTATGCACTTTCCAGGATCAATCATCATTAGACTGACTTTATAAATGATGTGAACCCAAGTTCCATCCTCTGCATGTTGATTCCTCTGTCATAATAGAGGTTCTACTAATAACAGTGCAGCCAATATTCAAACCAGTGTTCAGTTTATAAGTTAAAAACATGTTGTTTTCATTTGCGGTGCATGTTTCTCCTCAGGTGTCTGTTCTCCTCCTGACCTACCTGACTCTGGAGAAGTTCCTTGTCATTGTTTTCCCTTTTAGAAATTTGCGCCCAGGCAAATTTCAGACAGGGGTAAGTTGCACTTTTCAAAATGGGGAACAATGTGCCTGATGAATGTCATCCAACTGTTGTCTTTGTCTACAAAGTAATCGTCACTCTTATTTTGAAGAAAAACTGCTGAAGAACACACTGCACAAAAGTCCTCAACGCTTACTGACTCAGTAACTGCAGAGCTCCAAACCTCCTCTGGCATTAACATCAGCACAAAAACTGTTTGCTGGGAGCTTCATGCCTTCAGTAGGTGTAAAGTGCAGGTAGCTCATTTTAGTCCACTAGTAATCTTAGCTGTAAGGGAAAACAGTTTGTGTGAAGAACAAAAGAGAGATATCCTTTGTTCTACTGGTTTGGTATGAAGTATAAAGTAACCCCTGAACATCGCCAGAAGTCCCCAAAATATTGACCATTTCCAGATTTACTACAGTCTAATATTCATTTTACTGCTTTGAACCAAGTCTAAGAGTCAGCCATTTACTGTAAATATGCCTCCACCCACCTCACATCCACCAGTAAAGAATTAAAAGACCTACTGCTTGTTCTCCCAGATTGTCCACACAGGGGCAGAACATAAAGTGACTCGTCAGTCAGCAGGAGGCAACTTGATTGAAGAAAATGCTTGAAATCTGATAAAATAAATGTCAACTAGAGTTTGGAAACCCAGGCAGTCATAACTTTTCTTATTTGGGGAATTTGAAGAGTACTTTGTGTGAAATCCTGACAGCATGTATGTTGTCCTGCTTTAAGGTGGTCCTGGCTTCGATCTGGCTGCTGGGGTTTATTATTGCAGCCGTGCCCCTAATGAATGAGGACGTCTTTGGGAACTACTACGGACGTAATGGGGTCTGCTTTCCCCTGCACTCTGACAGGCAAGAAAAACCTACTGCCAAAGGATATTCCACAGGGATTTTTCTGGGTGAATAGAAGATTTTGTTTTTCATGAATTTTCATTCCATAGTTTATACTTACATAAGTAAGAGACAGCACTCAGAAGTGGGAATAATTCTTTGTATTATTGTAGGGTCTTTACCTTACAACATAAAACACCTTGAGGCAACTGTTGCTGTGATTTGGTGATGTATAAATGAAATTGAATTGAATTGGAGTTCAGTAAAATCTTTTTTTTAAATTGTCTTTTTCAGAAAAGAAAGACAATCTTCCATTTAAACTTTAAACACCCAAAGAAATGTGAAATTGTTCATTATCACAGAATATACAAAGAGTAAAGTAAAAAAAACTACGCAGTACAAATCTGTGAAGCAGAACTGTCCTGTGTTCAAAACCACTTAAATACTGTATTTAATACTGTATGAATTGCATAACGGTGTTTGATATAGTCCCAGCCAGCATGAAAAGCATTTGTATCTCTTTAGGTCTAAACCTGGTGGCTTTCCTGGTGATTGTATTCTCCTACTCCAGTATGTTCTGCTCCATCTATAAAACCGGCATCAATGCCACCGACCTGAGGAGCGGACTGCACAGAGATGTGGCTGTGGCCAACAGGTTTTTCTTCATCGTGTTCTCTGATGCCCTCTGCTGGATTCCTATATTTTTGGTGAAAGTCCTCTCGCTGCTGGAGGTGGAGAT